GGATAGTGCCCTGAGGATTTTTTTGAGATGATCCTATCATCTCATTTTTACCATCGCACTGTCCGCCACCGGAGTATAGTTCATCCGTACTATCTAGAACCACTGCATTCATCCACAGTGCGTTTTCAGAGATCTTTTTTTGCCACGTATCATCCGATTTTGCAATGAGATCACCGCCACGGTGTTTTACGAGCGCTGACATGTTCTAATTCAAACGAGGCTTGTGGATAGTAAGTACTCAACGGTAGGCAGCCGCTTGGAGCTACCTCTGGCATTGCTGACATCCATGGACGACGGTAACCACTAACCATCAGGTGGGCCGTATGCTCGTCTGCCTAAGCAAGAAATAAAAAAAGGTTCCCTTTTATGTGATCAATTTATAGTACAAACAATATCTGTGTTAGTAATCTTGTTCTATGTAAATTTATATAATTTTTATGAAATCATCACGACGCTTTGTATCAGAAGCCTTTTAAGGCGGACCATAAATGGAAGGACTCGTTTGTCATAAGTTAATGAACTTTGAGTCACTTTATTGATGGTTTAAGGCGAACTTAACGGTAGGCAGCGGCTTGGCTCTGCCCCTGGCATTGCTGAAGTCCATGGGCGACGGTAACCACTCACCATCAGGTGGGCCGTATGCTCGTCTGCCTACAAGGGCAATAAAAAAAAAAAAACTTTTGTGTTAGTCCAAATTTTTTATATTATTTTACATTTTATGTGATGTAAGAATATTTTCCATACTTGTCATTGGTGAACCTGCATTCTGAATCGGTAAAGTCATGACGATTTAAAACCATCGGTAAAAATCTAATTGAATAAAAAAAGCAATTTGAATTATATCTACAGTAGCTAAATATCCTCGTACATTTTTCATTAGTCTAGTCAGGCCGACCATACCTAAGATGTCCGCTTATACAATGGAGTTCATGTAGATTACAATGTTATGACAGCAGCCTACCCTGAAAGGTAGAGTAAACTTACTATTACATTGAAACGATAATCAGTACGGCTTTCAGACTACGCCTCATCTTTCTTCAAACGTAGTTTAGGAGAATCCTCAGCAATGAGAATTGGCTTGGCTGTACCCCCAGAACTGCTTACGTCCATGATCGACGCTCAGTTCGAAACTAATAATAAATGACTACATAGGCCTTTTTTTTCTGGTTGTAGGACCTCTTGTGAGTCCACGCGGGTAGGTACCACCGCCCTGCCTATTTCTACTGTGAAGCAGTAATGCGTTTCGGTTTGAAGGGTGGGGCAGCCGTTGTAACTATACTGAGACCTTAGAACTTATATCTCAATCGCATTTACGTTGTAGATGTCTATGGGCTCCAGTAACCACTTAACATCAGGTGGGCTGTGATCTCGTCCACCCATCTAAGCAATAAAAAAAATGCCCTTACGACCCGATAATTCGCTCAAAAATCTAAGAACAATGAATGGCGAGTCTAATTTAAACACACCCGTTGCGCTTAAATGGTCAACACAATTTCTATAACAATCACTAAAAAAATAACAAACAATTGTATTGGTATAATAAATTCCTAAAGTTTCTCATCTGAAACGATACCTCAGTAGTTTTATTACGTAACACTGAAATAATTACGAAAATTAAAAACGTGCTAAGTGACGAATCATGGTGTTCAGTGGTCATCGATCCTATTATGGTGTTTAGTGAGTATGTAGAAGCAATTAGGATCGCCCAGACACATCCTTGTTGTTTAAACTCGACTAATTCATTAAAAGTCCCGTATACTTGCGTTAAGTTCAATATTTGGCTAATATCGAGGTCGTATTAAAGCCGTTTATTATTTAAACCGGCTGCTTTCCGGTATTAACTGCTTTATTGATCCTGGGGAAGTTTATTTCCTAAATCACTGTCATGTGCCGCGTATCAAAAATGGAACAACGTCATATTGATAAAACCAAATCCTCAACTTTTATTGGTTTACTTAATTACTAATGAAATGCCATGTTGTCAATTTATAAATACGGGTGAGTTTATAGTGATGCTCTTTTACAGCTGCTTTTCACAAGGTGGAATTTTTGTATTGCTTAGGTGGGTGGAGGAGCTCACAGCCCACCTGGTGTTAAGTGGTTACTGGAGCCCATAGACATCTACAACGAAAATGCGCCACCCACCTTTAGATATAACACCTTTAGATACATTCCGGTTTGAAGCTTCGAATCGCGGTTATTCGACTTTCATTTAAAATTTCAGGCAAGAAAATTCGACTTTAAATTTCAAGGTGATATAAGTTCTAAAGACTCGGAATAGTTACAACGGCTGCCCCAACCTTCAAACCGAAACGCATTACTGCTTCACGGCAGAAATAGGCAGGGTGGTGGTACCTACCCGCGCGGACTCACAAGATGTCTTACCACCAGTAAATAAGAACCTTCAGATCTTCTGCTTATTATCGCCAATAAAAACCTTGTAAACATTCACAAGAAACAGATAAACAGGTTAGTTTTGGAAACAATTATATCAATTTAACACACGAGCCAAAAGTACCGTTACCGTATTTATTACGTTCAAATATTTTTTTGGTTAAAATATAAATGATTCTACAATTATTTTATAATTGGGCCTTGATTTATCTAAAATTTTGATTACGGAAATAACAGAATGGTTTAATTACTCTATTGTTGTACTGAAAACGGATATACCCAATAAAAGAATGTGTTTTCATTGCTACCTAACAGCTAAATAAATAAATTCTCATGACTAATGCAACGAATGAGTGCAGTAGAATTAAGATACCTATATGGTTGTATCTAATCCTGCGGAGTTTTTTTTTTTTTCTGATTGAAAGATTACTGGTGGCCCGGAGGCCTTTCCAGCTTCACCAGGACAGGTGGGCGAGCAAAGGCTCAGCCAGGAGGGGTGGGATTTGCTAACAACTGCCCGAGCGCCTCCGAAGGAGACCTAACAACTCAAGAGCAATTGCTTCGCGAATGAATCTACTACCAGATCGGAATCGCGACCCACTGAGAAGATCCGGTGAGAAACTCAGCGGGCTGATGCATGGGTTAGGTTGCACGTCGACCTCTTTGTCGAGTTCGACGAGTACGGTTACCGGGATTCCTCAGCCTGCACCTAGTGTTAGAGCTGAAGGTATCTAATGCAAGAGTTATTGGATCTGATGGATCCGTAAGGACGTGTAAAATATCCTGCGGACTCTCACGATATATTTTTATCTTACTACAAGTAATTATCGGTTTATACGTTTTATTTTTATACAATATATTGTGCCCTCTTTTGGAACCCGTGTTAGATGCGTATTTATTTGTAACTCTGGTACCGTCTTGAGAAATGGAATCCTGGTACACTAAAAGCAGTCTATACAAATATAGCTAACGTCTTGCTAAGCTTGTAGACTGTAAGTTAAAATTTAATAATAGAATCAGCGTTTTTAACTCAACTTTTGAGCTTTTATATTTATTTCATTTTTTTCCTAACTACCCTTTGTTGGTGTAGTGGTGAGTGGCATTTATCTACGGTTACGCGGGCATTCGGGTTTGATTCTTAGCAAAGAGTAGTTCTGATAAAGATATGTATCAATCGGGGTATTTGTCTACTTGTTCCGTGTTTCCGTTATCAAGACCTCAGAAGAAAATCTTAGCTAGGGGTTGCTGTAAATGTCATATTACATTTTATTATTATTATTGCTACATAATTACCTAACAAAAGCGATCATAATAATTCACCTATACTTAGAGGACTAGGTGATACTGAGAGAATTAAATAATTCATTATACAATAGACAGATTTATTTTTTTATTGCCTTTGTAGGCAGATGAGCATACGACCCACCTGACGGTAAGTGGTCACCTTCGTTCATGGACGTCAGCAATGCCAGGGGCAAAGCCAAGCCGCGGCTTACCATTCTTTATGTTAGTAAGAATAAGTAGAACATGGTGGTTGATGCTGCGCCAGTGATTTATCAAAAAAATGTTGTATCGAAGATCCCAATCACATCAATCGCAAACAATGACGAAAAAAGATAACACTTGTAAACTTTTAAATCATTTTTTTTTTAAATTGTAAACTTCATCCTGACTCATAAATTCCGTTGCGAATTCAATAATAAGCCGATATTCATAAAAAAAATATGCCTTTGTATGTAAATTGAGCATGATATTTATTACTTCATGATGTGTATGCTATGCTAATGATTATAACACGCCTAAACGATTAAGCTGATAGATTCCTTATTGACGTTTTAATTGATCGGAAATTATTGTCGTTTGAAATAACAAATGAATAAAGTTTCTTCCCGAATGAATAAAAACAAATGAATAAAGTTTTATTATGGTCCCCGAGACGAAAGTGCGAAGTTTTGAAAATACCACTTTTAATGTGTATTTAGATTGTTATGTCTGAGGTCGGAAAACTCAACCAATGGCGGATCCAGGGGGGGGGGGGGCATGGGGGTCATGACCACCCCCTAAGCTGGTTCCAGGACTTAGATGGACCACTGATTGAATATACCTAATGATTTTATTTATACATATATTTTGTCACCATACAGATTTTATGTAACTACATACCTTCAATATTTAATTAATTTAATATAATATAATAACTTTGTATAATGGCAAACGTTTGGGAACGAACGCATCTAAATTTGACTATGTGACCCCCTCCTGGCGCCAAAGTTGGATCCGCCCTTGAACTCAACTATGATTGATAAAATTAAATTATCTTTCAAAACGTTCTTTTTTTATCCGTGTACCGAAAAACAACACACTACAAGTTAAATGCTATAAGATTTTTTGTACAACCATCATGGAATAACCGTGTATATATTATCAATTTTATACGATGTTTTCCTTATCTACAACGTTGTTTTTATACTATAGTTAATCACTTATCTTATAGCGTTAAAATCAATTTTGACCCCAAAATTGTTTCTACACAATCACTCTGCTCAATTCAACGGAGAAGTGCGATTTTTACAACTTGTTGAAATACGAAAAAACTGAAATCGTACCTTAAAATCCAATTTCGAAATCTATTTTGAAAGCACACTACACTGCACGAACGTTATTGCGTACGGAAATGTCTCATTTACTTGTTTTATTAAAAGAAACACTGTTAGAGGTGATGCCGTGCGCTCGGCGTGGTTACGAGTGATGCGGCCAATTGCGACTGAGCTCAAGCAGACAACCAAAGTAGTTTATACAGCCGAGTTTCGGCTACCCATCGCACGACCATCCTTGTAACTTCGAAGCTGTGCTCTCGGTAACCGGCTTTGAACACCGTTAGACAAAGGCACCTACGCCGTGTTCTCGATTTTCTCACGTGTTTTTTGTGATCGCACTGCAAAATATCGGTTGAGTTGATCTATTTAATTACACCAAAGCTATTGGCTAAAGAACATTTGAAAAAAATTTATAACGTTGAAGTCTTACTGGTGGTAGGACTTCTTGTGAGTCCGCACGGATAGGTACCACCAGCCTGCTTATTTCTGCCGTGAAGCAGTAATGCGTTTCGGTTTGGAGGGTGGGACCGCCGTCGTAACTATACTGAGACCTTCGAACTACTACTTCAGATAGGTCGCTGTATCTACGCTGTAGATGCTTAGGAGCTCCGCTAACCACTTAACATCAGGTGACTGTGAACTCGTTCACCCATCTAACCAATAAAAATAGGATTAATAAAAGTTATTATTTTTTAATATTACACGTTATAAATAAAGAGTAGTTATTTCGAATTTGACAATACATATTTATGTTAATTTGAATAAGTTGTGATCAACGATTATCTGACTGCTTAAGCTGTGCATAATAATACATCTTTGTGAATGTGAATTGTGTACTCTTTAGCACTTTAGTATATGAGCAGTGATTATACAACTATTAATGTGTAATGCATCTCTAAAACAGCTTCTGTATTCCATCAGTCTACATTTTACTCAAAAAATTTTGGCATTAGATCGATGACGATAATTATGAGGTAATATATAGAACTAAGTATGTAGATAAAAATCATAAAAAAAATTGTTTATGTAACTGACACACATGAAAAAAATTGGCGTGCACGTGCAAGTCTGCCACGTGCTTCTTATGGGCTTAATAGGTCTCCAAAAATGTTTTACGTCGATGATGATGTTGTTAGAGATTTCATAATCGCTTTGTATTTGAATCAATAATTGGTGTCATGACTGTGATTAACTATGTATTGCGTGCCTACGCTGGTTGGTTTTAATAATCGTGAATGTATTATTTCCTTAAAATACTATTCGTTACTACTTTTATGTTCTTTATTAGATATATGAGTCGACTATTATCAAAGCCGGCAATGTGACTTTTGGACAATGATTGGTAAATCAGAAAAACGAATTATTGACTTTGTATTCCATTGGCAGTCACAAAACTCTTCTGAACGACATCTTAGATAAATAACAGGTTAAGTATTAACCTTTATTTAATGCAGGTTTTGAACCGTATTCTTTGAAGGAGACGATTATATTCAAATCAATCTGTATTGACATATCAAGAACATTTTTTTGTCCAAATGCACAGATTGCCACCTTTGATAATAGACGACTCATATGTAGTCGACTAGTTTCTTTTTTTTTCCTACTTAATCTGATAGCCTTGAGAGGCTATGTCAGCGTAACCCTAACGTGAAAGTGAGTTCTCGGGGCTCAAACCTGAGGACGTTGCTAACACTAGCCCTAACAAGAGCAGTGTTCCGCAGAATCTACCACCGGATCGGAAAACGCGACCCACTGAGAAGATCCGGCGAGAAACTCAGTGGTTTGTGTCTATGGGTCGACTACTAGTGAACCCCGTCTACGGTTCGCTGTAATGTAGTCGCTACATAACACCAAAAATCTTTCTCAAAGTGCTAGGAACCACTGTAAGGTTCGCCATGAGGCCTTCATGGAAGTAACAGCAACAACTGCAAAAAAAAAGAAATTACAGTTGTTGCTGACATTTAGATAAGCTCTGTGAAAATAAATACATCAATATACCCAATTAACAAGGAAAAACAATATTTTGTTTTAATAAACAATGAGGATAACATAAAATAAAAAAATATAAAATTATTTATATAACAAACAGTAAATACTATAAAATTTAGAAGACTTTCATTTTATCATTTTTTTTTTTTTAAAACAGAATAAATAATAAAAATGTAAATATAGTAGAACATCATGACATTATAAGATAACAATAAAACTTTATTTGTAAAAAAGCGCGGTATTGCGCCGTTTAGCAGTCTTTTCTTTGACAGGTCACCGAACTCGTAACTACAGTATGCGTAAAATCACAAAATCGAAAAGATTAATAGAATAAGAATAATTTACATCTTGACATTTTTCTATTTTGTGATGATTAAATGTGCAATTGCTTGTTTAAATCCTTTTTTAAATCTCAATTTTTTTTGGGGTTAGTTGATCAATTCTTTTTGGGACCAAAATTGAGTCATCGATCATAATATTCTTTAAGACGAGAACTTTTAGTATAAGCCTGCGGTTGCTTTGCAGAATGCTTGTGCGGATGTGAGGTATTCGTGTGTCACTAAAGCTGCTCGGTATTATTTTTTGTACTTTCACTAAAATACGTGTTTTGGCTACTTTCTTTTCACATAAGTAGCATAGATTATCGATAGAATAACGGTTAGGAAAAACATGAATCTTCGTTTGAGTGTGTTATTAGTGAATTATATATCAAGTTAATAGCTGAATAACGTCATAATAAATTGAACTAAATAATAATGCACTGAATATTCAGACAATGAATATTTTTTCGTCACTGCTAAATACGTCATAGCTACAATACATAATATGTGTTAATAATTAAGTAAAATTAATCTAGACTAACGTATTAATGAAAATATTGTATTTTGCAGTTTCCACCAGTTCAATAGTGAACATTCCTCCTCCTCCTTCCTCCTTCAGTCGATCGCTCATTACTGAGCATCGTGATGCGCCCGCCTGTGACATTTTTTTTTTTTTTGTAGTGTGTAGCCACTTTTGTCGGTCAGTGGCACAGTGAAGTGCTTGGCTCATTGTCATGTCCAGATACTCGGATACTTGGTCACTCCATCTTCTTCGGCTCCGACCTCTGGATCGTCTTCCATCCACTTTACTCATGAACATTAAAATAAGAAAAATCCAAATGACAGAATCCATTTGACTTGAAACGTGGATAAAACGTGCAACTTCCTTTCACTAACCTTCATTGAGTAAAGGTTCACTTTAAAACTAAATCACGATCATCCATCTCAAAGAAACAAAAGAAACATGAAACTTTGATACCCATCACTTATTAAAATGTCAAACATTTTAAGCCCGTGCGAACGAGTTTCCTGACATTCATGAACAAATAATGTTTTTTTTTAATAAAAAATGGACTTCATCTTTTGTCACGACGAAAATTTGTAAAACAACAGAAACTATACTAATAAAATTTTTGAAACTGTTTGTAGGGAATATCAGTAGGAAAAATTTTCATTCGGTAGACTAGGTAGATTTAGGACTTTGATGGATTCCCTCTATTTTATAAAAATACCGCTATTTAAACTACTATTTACGATTGCTGGGCTAAATTAAAGAACATCGAACAGCCGGTTTTAATGTCCACATATGGTTTTTTCTTGAGTTGTTAGGTCTCCTTCGGAGGCGCTCGGGCAGCTGTTAGCAAATCCCACTCCTCCTGGCTGAGCCTTTGCTCGCCCACCTCTCTTGTTGAAACTGGAAAGGCCTCCGGGCCACGAGTACTCCTTCATTCCTAAAAATAATATTAAATATTTGAAAAAAAAAGATTTTTTTAGATCGAATGAATATACGGGCTTTGGTCTTGTCGAACTGCTGTTTCCTTATAACAAATTTGAAGTCTTTAAAAATATAATAAAATATGCTTTATTTCAATATAGTTGACTGCGTCAATATATAGAATGCAGATTAAATCGCTGTTCACATCTAAATTTGTAAAGGATGTAGGAATAAAATAATAGGTTAGCACAAAGCACATCCGATTTCAAAAACTCAATGCTAATGAAACACAATTCAATGAAACACAATTCGCGATGTGTAATGATAACATTGTTCAAATGACTGCCACTAGTCGAGCATTAATTTAAAAAGAACCTGAAGCTGACTTACTAATTTCTAGATGTAATGTAGTTTCTTACAAGTACATAAAATTTCGTAACATCTTTATCACGCATGCCAACAATTGATTTTTTTGCTGTTTCCTAAGCCATTCAATCGAAGAAAATCTAGGAATCAAATCAATCAAAATTCAAAGATCCTAAATAAATTATTCATAGATTTTTTTATTTCATACAAGACGGAGACAGCGAGAGGCACTATGATGAGTTATGATGTAATTAATGTTAACGTTATATTTTGTACTGGCAGGCGCTTTGTGGGAATGAGACAGAACATTCCTTTCCTTCCACAACTTGAAATACTGAAACATTATCATTACACACTATATTAGCAAACTTAAAGTATTTCTACAATATTCATATTAAATTATATCCTTCAAACTTCAAGTTGTGACCAATAAGGCTTTGCAATTCATTTTGCTTTTAAATTGTATTTTGCGCACTGGAAGATTTCTTATAAAAAACTAGCGGCACGCTGCAACTTTGCTCAGGTCATTAACAAAATTTTCAAAGTTAAAAATTATAATACACACACATCAACCCTTCTATTTGCATCAGGTTACTAAAAAAAGAAAATTATAAAGTTAGTTTGAATATTATTATTTTTAAGAACTTTTATTTTCATTAAATTTTTTTTTTTATCTCTTTTATTATTATTTTTATATTATTATTTTACTAGTTTTCGTAAAAAGGTCATATATACTAAGTAAAAGCCATTGAGTTTATTGACTTAGAGCTTCCCTCTAAATGATATTTGACGTTGTTTTATTTTTTTAAATAAAAGAACACTTAATGTGGCATAACTATAATAGTTTGAAATGTTATTACTATACTGTGCCGAAACTTTTTGTAAATAATAATGTGTTCTACAAAGTCATGCTACATTATTTTTTTCTAGCTACAATCGTTTTCGCAGCGCACACGATGTAAAGAATATTTTAGGTAATTTTTTTCACCTTGGATTACATTATTGGAGTTTTAGTAACAATTCCTAATTAAAAAAAAAAGAATATAGCCTATGTCACTCGGGGATAGTGTAGCTTCCAAACAGTGAAATAATTTTTCAAAACGCTTCAGTAGTTT